TGTATTGGTGTTTGTGTTGGTTTTTTATTTTTGTATTATATGAGACGACATCATTATTAAATTGTGGCGGTAATAATTTTTTCTAGATATTTTTTTTTGTTTGTCTATATGTAGATCAAGCTATTTACGAGTATTTGTTAACAAATTCCAGATTTTTCTATATATAATTTTTTGTTGTTGTTGTAACAATAGTAGTATTTAAAGAACACATGAATTGCACTGTAAGTAGTTGGAACAAGTTCAAATGTTGTCTTTTGTTTAATTTTGTTATTTGTTTTCAATGATTTTGATTCGGAAATTTAAATTTGAAAAATTTCGATAGTTAAAACAATAAGAAAAAAAGTTGAGGTTATGTTTTCTGTGTCAAAAAAAAAAAAAAAAAACTAGACAAGTCACAAAGTCTGTAAATAAAATATTGAATTGCAGAACATTTTCGATCAAATCTTATAATTTTTTTTAGATATCCCTCCAAAACCTTGCTTTCATGGTAATATTAAATTGGTCAGATTTTCCACATGACCTCACTTCCAAAGTAAAATTAAATCTTATGGAATTCCCGCTTGCTTTTTAGTTGTTCAACTTAGAATACAAAATCCTGCTTTTTTTCTTTGTAATTTTTCAAGCATTTAAATTTATTCAAGATATAACCTCACATTTTAGCCTTATGGAATTTTGCTCAATTTTTTTAACTCAAATTGTTTTTTCATTAATTTTCCTTCAATTTACTCAAGATTTTTCTAGGAAATAACTTTATTTAAGATATAACCTCACTTTTTTGCCTTATGAATTTTGCCTTCATTTAATCTAACCTCAATTTTTTTGGGGTTAAACTTGTCTTCGTGATTCAAAAAATTTGGAATTATAATCAGAAATTATTTAATTATAACATTTGCGCTACTTCCTGAGTGGTCGGTCCATGGTTGTTTATCTTAGATTTTCCATCTGAAATGTCATGAAGAACCATATTCCATTGTTTCGAATTTATGGAAAGGGGTTTCAAGGGATTACTTTGTCTGAAGATTATGAACATAAAGAGATAAAATTTTGGAAATATTTTGAGAAAACCTCAATTTGCGTTTATTTTTTCAAAGTGTCATTGCTTGCGGAGGTATGACTGAGTTTTTTTCAAAATCAAATTTTGTTAATTCCTCAATATTATTAACACTTGACCTCCAGCTATTTTTTTCCAAACAATACCGGTAGCACTTGTTAACCCAGAACTCCCAGAACTCTAGGATGTCGAAGTCGACTCCAACCTGTCATGTTAAAGTTACACAATTCAAATATCGCAGGTCATAATAAAATTGATCTTCCAACCTAGAAATCCAAAAATTTTTTAGACGTAGAAGTCGACTCCAACCTTTCTTGTTACAGTTACACAATTTAAATATTGCGGACCATGATAAAATTGACCTCCATCTTAAAATTAACTTCCAAAAGTCTTCCATGGATAAAATAATTTTTATGAATTTTCTCCTTTTTAAGACGTCTAAGTCGATTCCGGTCTTTAAAAATTCTTCATCTACGAGACCAGCGCCTTAACCTAATAGAATTCTAGATGTCTCTAATGGATAGAACAACCTTCAACGAGTCTTCTATTAAAACAAGTCCTTTTAAAGGTCATCTCATGTGGCCTTTATAGCCCTCATTAAAAGGGTTTCTCATTTTAAAAATACTTTAAGAAGGTCTTATTTCCATGGACATTTTAAAGAGGCAGGTCTCTCCAAAGATCATCTAAAATTCGTCTAACTATAGAATGGACTTTTATCTATGGGGTTTTCATCTAAAGAAGGGTCTGTCAATGTTTTTCTATCTATAAAAGGGATCGTAATAATATTCTACCAGAAAGGTCTCCAAAGTTTCCTCATCCAAGAGATCTTCAATTATAGAAGACCTCTAAAATATATCTTCTCCCAAAGGAAATTTCTCTTAAAGGCTTTCTTGCTATCATTAGAAGGACTTCTGATTTAAAAAGACTCTTAAAAGGTATTATTTCCATTGAAATTTTTAAGAAGTTGGTCTCTCCAAAGTTTTGTAGGCCATTTAAAAATGCTTCTAACTATAAAATACCTTCTCCTATGAGCTTTTTATTTAAAGAAGGTCTCTCAATGTTTTTCTATCTATAAATGTGATCTTAATAATATTCTACCCAGAAAGGTCTCCAATGTTTCTTCCCCCAAGAGATCTTTAATTATAGAAGACATATACTTTAGGAGACACTTAAAAGAACTTCAATCTGTGCTTCTCCTAAACAGCACCCAAAGGATTTTGTATTTTTCGAAGACCTTTTCAGAATCTTTTTTCCTTGGGAGACACCTAAAACACCTTCTATCTATTTCTCTTAGTCTTTTCAGATAGGGGAATTTCTGACTCCCAATATTTCTCGTAAACAACAAACAAAAGGATTTCCTATTTTTAGAAGACCTTTTCAGGGTCATTTAATCCTTGGGAGACACCTAAAGACCTTTTATCTATTTCTCGTAGTTTTTCTTTAGATTTGGACCTTCTAAACTTTCTGTCTTGAAACCTTATCAAATTCTTTCACAAATATCAGACCTTATATATGTCTTCCAAAGATAAATAAACTAAAGTCCCTTTTTAGATGGGGGTCCTTCTGAACTTTTCTCTCTAAAAAATGTTTTCTATTGCTTTTACAATAAGGTCTGCTATTTGTAAAAGAATTAGAAAGCATCTTTAGAGAGAAAGATCAAAAGGACTTTAATAAGAGGTAGTTTATTTATTTAGAAGACATATATGATATCTGTTATTTGTGAGAGAATTTGTAAGGTCTCTAGATTGAAGGTTTAGATAACTTCTAAAGATAAATATCCCACCATTAAAATGTGTTCTCTATGTATAATAACTTTTAAAGTACTTCAATGAAAATTTGACCTTGTTGGAGGTTTTCTATCTACTAAAGGACTCTTAAAGCTCTTTGAAATAAAGGAAAGCAGGACATCTGGAAGGTATAATACTGAAAGACCTTTATCCACAAAATAACTTTAGAAGGAGACAATTTCTCGAAAGTGAAGGTGAAAGAAAAACATCGTTCCAAATAAGTTTTTCATATTTTTGATTTTTTCAATTTAAATCCAAAATATGAAAAAAAAAAAATATCTGGAAATGTATTCTTTGTTCATGTATTTGTGAAACAAAAACAGACCCTAGGTTTTAAAAGTGATGATCATCCTTTCAAGATCCTCTATACAAAGGAGTAAAAACTTTTATCAAAGAAGGACTTTTAGAGTCTCTTCTACTACAAATCCTTTTGTCTACATATAGAAGATCTTTTAGAAACTAAAAAAATCTATTCAAAAATACCTCCAAATGGTCTTCTGTAGATAGGGACCTTCAAAAGTTATTCTCGTGACAAAAAATGTCCTTCAAATATCACAATATGGAATATCTTTTATCTAAAGAAGAACTTTTGAAATGCTATCAATGGAAGGTCAATGGTGGCCTTAGATAACTACCAAATGACCTTCCATTCAAAGAATTCCAAAACTTCTTCTTTAGATAAATGATATTCCAAATTACTACTTTGTATAGGGGATCTTGAAAAGATTTTCTTCGGATACGGAAAATCTAAAATCCTACAAAAATGATATTAAAAGACAATTTTAGCTGGACATGAATGCATTTTTAATAGGGCTCCTTAAGTTATTATTTCGAAAAAAAAAACGAATCCAAATTCAAAACTCTTTTTTTTCGTAGAATCAAAATCAATTATTTTGCTGATGTTTTTTGTTTTATTATCAATATTATTTGAACATTTGAACTTGTAATGGAATTGTATTTTTTTTTCATTTTTGTTTCTCTTCTTCATCTTGTTTTTCTGCTATAATATATAGTATCTATGTATTTGTATAAAGAGTATATAATCTTTCCCTTGAGGAGATTTCTTGGTACTACTATATATATGTATATATATAAAAAAAATTGATTTATATCTATAAGATTTTGTTTCTGTATATCCAATAATGATATTGTTTTATAATGTCTCTTCTTCTGCGTATGTGTGTGTGTGTTTGTGTTTTATTTTTCATGTGTGGTGTGGTGTGGGTGTTTGTTTTTGGCATTTAATTAATTTTTAATGTATAAAATATATATATTCAGATTTGTATATAAATAATTACTATGTATAAATGTATATATATTTATATATAGTAATGTATATATAAATATATAATTTTTAGGGTTTCTTTTTTTTTTTGTTTTGTTTTTGTAATATATAACTATTGGTTTTGTTGTTTATATATATATATAGTTCTTTTGCTTTTGCTTCTCATAAACACATCGCTTGTTGTATATGTTTGTTTGTTTTGTATGTAGTATTTGTGTAAACAGTTGTTGTTTTCCATTTTTTTACATCCAAAGATATTTTTTGTTTCGTTTTCTTATTTTTTTTTTAATATATTTCGTTTTTTGTTTAATAATTGGTAAGCGTATAATTAAGTTGATGTTACTGTTAGGTTTCTTCTTAATATGTATTGTAATATATTTATATATATAATGTACGTATGTATACTTATTTATATTCTAGAATTTTTTTGTTTTTGTTTTTTTTTTTTAAATATATATATAAACATTCAAAATGTTTCCTTAATTTCTTCTTCTTCTTTTACTAAATATCATAAAATATAAAATATATAAATGTAATAATGCAATTATATATATACATATATATTAATATATACATATGTATATAGAAATATGTACATAATTTCTTTCTTAATTTTTGTTGTTGTTTTTTTTTTGTAAACTTAATATATTCTTTATACGGTTTTTTAGTATTTTTTTAGGGTTTTCTAGTTGTTGTTGTTGTTTTTTCACAATTATTTACAAACGCAGTTGTATATTCAACCAACTCAGTCAGTAGTTTAAATTGTTGTTGCTGTTGTTATTATTGTTGTTTTTTCTTTTGTTTTATTTTCTTTTATTGTTTACTTTTTCCTATGAGAAATGGTATGTAAAGGAGAGTTCGTGTGTATTTGTATGTATGTGTGTGTGTGTGTGTGTGGGGGGGGGGGATTTTGAGTTTATGTTTTTTGTATAAATACATATTTGGTTTATTCTTGGCCGGATTTTGTAAAATTGTTTACATTTTTGTTGTTGCATTTGGGATTGATTTTAAAAGGGGTAAGAAACGAATGTTTGACCCCAGCAAAACATCGAAGAATTAAAGGTATATTTTGGTATATTTTCTCAGGAGATTTTAGAACTTTTTTGGAGTGAAGAACAGTCAACTTTTTGCCATATACGTTCCTTATACAAATGTGAGGTTAGGACTGATATCGCTTTTTGAGAAAACATGACCCAAAATAGGTGTTTTTTTTTTGTTAGGCAATTATAAAATTTATATATTTTTTAAAATAGAAAGATTTTATTCTAAATTTACGATTTGTTTTTTTTTATTTCTTAATCTGAAAATTTGAAGTTAGAGACGAATGCAAAAATGTGTCCCATTTGAGGTTCCTTTTTATTTTTATTAAACATTGTCCTTATAGGTGGCCATTGAATTGTTTATGTTTTTGTTATTGTTGCATTTGGGTTTGATTTTAAAATTGATAGGAAAATGTTGACCCTTAAAAAATATTGAAGAATTAAAGGTCTATTTGGGGTATATTTTCTAAGAGGATTTTAGATTTTTTTTTAGAATACTCTAAATATATACCCATTTTTGGAGTGAAGAACAGTCAATCTTTTGCCACATATCCTTTTTATACAAATGTGAGGGGTTAGGACTGATGTCTCTTTTTGAGAAAACATGACCCACAAAAGTTTTTTTTTGGGATTTATAAAATTTAGAAATTTTTTTAAAATAGAAACATTTTACTCTAAATTTACGTTTTGTGTTTAATTTTTTAATTTTTAATCTTAAAATTTCATTCTCTTGCAAAAATGTGTCCCAATGAGGTTACTTTTTGATCTAAACTATTTTTATTAAAAAATTGTCCCTATATATGGCCATTGAAATCTCAAAAACTTCGTAAAAAGTATGACCTTTAAAAGTGAGATTATGTAAGCAAAGATGGAGGTTATTTAAATAAAAACAATATATCTTCAAAAAGTTAAAAGATTAGAACCGTATACATTTCATTATCTAGAAAAAATATGTCTCAATGAGGTTCCTTCTTGTAAAAAGATTTAAGAGGTGAACTATTTTTATTAAACATTATCCTTAGATATGGCCATTGAAAACTGGAAAACTTCGTATGACCTTCAAAAGTGAGGTTATGAACAACAACATTGAGGTTATTTAAATAAAAACAATTTAACTTCAAAAAGTGAGGTTAGAGCCGATTACATTCCATGTCCTAATAAATTTTTTTCTTAAAAAAAATACAGAGTAAACTATTCCCTTGAACATTGTCATTATGTATGTCCATTGAAAACCCGTAAAAGATATAATTATTAAAAGTGAGGTTATGAATGACGACATTGACGTTATTTAGATTCAAAAAAAAAAAAACATTTGTATAGAAAAACATTTATTTGGGGTTATGTAGACATACGATATTTGGAAACAAATCACCCTAATAACACTCTTTTTTGGAAATATTATTAAATTAATTTTAAAACCAAAAAAAAAAACGAGTTGATCTAACCAAACTTTTTTAAGAGTATTCGAGAGATTTTCTTACAGTTTTTTTAATGTTTGTGGATATTTCCTAGGCGATATTTTGAAATTTAAAATATTTTTAGAGTATCTCCCACTATCTATAAAAAAAAATTCTGTTTTCATAACCTCACTTTCGGCGAATAGTCGAACTTTTTTATGTTATTCGGAGAGATTTTCTCACAACATTTTGTTTTAAATGTCCACCAATTGTGGGTGTTTCTTGGGCAATATTTTGAAATTTATATTATTTTTTGAGCTTTCCCCAGTACCAATAAAAATCATGTTTTTCATAACCTCACTTTCAGTATTCTTTTAAAAAAATCCGTAAACCCTTTTTCCTAAATTCGCATTTATTTGGTATGGTCATATTCCCCACCCAATTTTTCAAACAATTCACTGTAATTACAAACGTTTTGGAAATGTTTCCGTTTTATTTTTGAAGTTCAAAACGAATTGACTTTACCTCAAATTTTTTAAGGTTGTATGGATACATTTTCTGAAAATATCATTGTCTTACATTTGAAACGGGTTGACATAACCTCACATTTTTTTAAGTCTATTTGGACACACATTTTGTCAAATGTTCCGTCAAAATCTTGGACCCTGCCTGGGAAATGTTTTCAAATTGGAACTAATATTTTTCTGGATATCTTCCAGTATAAATCATAATTCTGCTTTCTATAACCTCAAATATAACATAACCTCAAAATAGAACATTTTCGAAATTCCACCTATATTTTGGATTGTGTGTTTTTAGCCTTTCTGAAAAATGTCATTGTCTTACTTTTGAAACGGGTTGACATAACCTCACATTATTTTAAGTTAAGTGGACACACATTTTGTCAAATATCCCGTCCAAATTGTGGACTCTGCCTGGGAAATGTTTTCAAATTGGAACTAATATTTTTCTGGATATCTTCCAGTACAAATCATAATTTTGTATTTTATAACCTTAAGCACAACATAACCTTAAAATAGAAACTTTTCGAAATTTCACCTACTATGTGGTTTATGTGTTTATATTTCCTTAAGTAAAAACATAAAACCTAAAACATTTCACGACACATTTTTGGCCTTTCTGAAAAATGTCATTGTCTTACTTTTGAAACGGGTTGACATAACCTCACTTTTTTTAGCTGATGTGGACACACATTTTGTCAAATGTTCCGTCCCAGTTGTGAATACTTCCTGGGAAATATTTTGAAATTTAAATTAATATTTTTTTCTGAATATCTTCCAGAACAAATCATAATTTTGTTTTTTATAACCTCATGTATAACATAACCTCAAAATAGAAAATTTTCGAAATTTCACCTATATTTTGGATTGTGTGTTTATATTTTCTCAAGCAAAAATATAAAACCTAAAACATTTTACGTCATTTTTTGCCACTCTGAAAAATTTCATTATCTTACGCCATTTTTAGCCTTCTTTGAAACAGGTTGACATAACCTCACATTTTTTAGGTTATATGAAAATATTTTTTTTTTTTCACTCAAATTGTAAATATTTAACTAGGAAATATTTTGAAACTTCTTGGGTATCTCATGGTGCAAACATTGCTTGTTTCTTCTTCATAACCTCACGATTTGTATTCTTCTGAAATCTCGCCTATATATGGGATTATTTGTTCATATTTCCTCAATCAATTTCTAACACATTTCACGCCATTCTTACCCTTCGTGGAAATATTTTAGACTTCCGTTTGAAACTCAGAAAACCTAACCTCACATTGTCTCATGAGTTGTCGTTTTTTTACTGTTTCATCTCAAATTCACCTAAACTTGCCAAAATTCCTCGCTCTCAACATTTAAGATGCCATCCAAATTCTACTCTGTTCGAGGAAATAGGGTTCGCTCATTTCTGCAACCTAACCTCACACTTCTTTAGATTATACGGACAAATTTTCTTACTCGTTTATTCAAATTGCTTCACACCAATTGTGCTTATTTTGCCAGGGAATTTAAAGTATCCTTCTGAAAAGACATTTTCCAGGGCCAATCTAGCCTGCTCTCACCCAAAAATAGAATTCACTACAAAATCCGGCCTTAAATTATTCGCGAGTCTTAGTCTCGTTTTTGTTTGTATAGTCAACATCGTGTTTGTTTGTGTGTGTTCGTTGTTTATGATTCACGACCCACAAAACCATTTGGTGGGGGTTGTGAAGTTGGTGTTGTTGTTGCTGTTGTGGTCGTTGGTTGTTGTTCTTTAAACCATTGTTCTTTGCGAGAAAATGTTGATGACAATGGCGGAATTGTTGTTGTATCAATTAATGTCTTTGTCGTCGGCTGTTGTTGTTGTGATGTTGGTGTAGGAGTTATTGATAGGGAGGCAGTGTTCGTTGCACTTTTGCCACTACTACTACTTTGGCTACGACTTCGATCGGTTTTCGTTGTCCTGTCATTATTACTACTGCTACTATTACTACTACTACGTCTCACCAGTGATAAATCATCCATGGGTATATCCGCCGTTGCGGTTGTCGTTGTCGCTATGGGTGCAGCAGCAGTATAGTCATTATTTACATTATTATCATCATGGTGATGTCGGTCATAGTTCGCGGATGACACTGCCGTCGTATTATTTGTATTCGCCGCCGATAAATTGGCCAGTGTGTTGAGGCGTTCGCCAAGTATCGGACGTTGTAGCTGGGCAGCCGTTGATCCGGATCTTGGTAATACTGAACTTGAATTTGTATTGCCTGGTATGAGGGGTGACATTATTTGATAGTTGGCCACATCACCGATATCCATTACACCCATTCCGCCACCCCCAACTCCACCTCCACCTCCCGCATCAGCAATTTTCTTTTGTGCCGATGGTTCGTTCATCATTACATATGTGGATCCAGTCTCATTCTCTATTAAAGGTGTACCACCACTGGGTTGCATTATTTCATAGTTGGGGTTGTCACCACCCGCTGTGGTATTTAGGGTCGATGTGGTTCCCGTCGTGTTTAGGGATTCATCCAACATTTTATAGTTAGGTTGCGAGGAGCCCATCATAAATGCCGAAGCCGAGTGTAGGCGCGGTCGTATGCGACTTGTCTCATTGCCAATGAGGCTTGTGTCACCCATACTATCGTCCAAACGTCGATAGTTGGGATTGTCACTGGTACCCGACGAGGTGGAGAAGAAACGCGGATGCCCTGTATAGCTACCGGTGCTGCCGCTGCCACCACTCTCAATGGTGCCCAGATTTTGGCCGCTCATACTCTTGCCACGACCCGTGCGAGCCAAATTACTAATACTACCACCCGCACCACCCGTTGTGGGATTGGAATTTGTACTTTTGTGGCTGGCATTGCTACCGGAACGTTTGTGAAAGATACGCTTGTTCATGTTTATGACACGATTGCGTGCCGAATCAGCCACGGCCCATAGCCCCTTGGGCTTACCGCCACCACCACCACCACCACTGCCTCCTCCGCCATCGCCGGTGGCTGTGTTCTTCGTTGAAGCATTCGAGGACGCTGCCGAGGCAGTTGAGGGATGTAACGATGATGGCACCTGTTGGGCAATTACATCGTCGGGCATCGACGTAGACAAAGGCATTATTGTGGGTTGCCTCTGTTTTCCCTTGGGACGTTGCAATAGATTTTGACCCGCCGTTGAGTTTATGCCAAAATCATCCTCATCATCATCATCAATTGCAGCCGCCTCACCACCATGTGGCACATGTTCACTATAATTTGGACTTGGATCATACATTTCATAACCCTGCTCCTCGGAATCGTTTCGTTTCTGCGCCTCATGTGTCGCTGGATCAAAATCAGGCTGGACATAGGCATCGGCCTCCTCCGAATCCCGATGAGTTCTCGAGTGCTGCTGCTGTTGTGAAAATCGTGTCGGTTGATAGAGATTACGATGATGTGGATGGGTGTGAGGATGTGTTAACTGATGACTAGTCGTACTCGCACCAAGTTTCCGTATGCCCGCCGACGTGGATGGTGCCGAATTCAATAAATGACGATTGGGATGTAAAATACCGGATACATTGTAACTACCACGCGATTGTTCATCGGGTGTACTGCTAATTACCATTGGTGAATTAATGCTATGGACGTTGTAGAGGATAAAAGTACCAATGAAAAGTTAAAGAGAAAATCAACATACCTGTACGGAGAGTGGGGCGCATCATCATCGATGACCATGGATGAATCGCCACGATGATCGATTGAGGAGTTGTTGTCGGCATTTAATTTGTAATTGCTATAATCCTCCAGCCGTAATGGCGTTGTGACATCTTCCATGTCATTGTCTTGGTCATCGAAAATATCGCCAGATCTTTGATTACGTTCTGCACACAAGAAGTGGAAAAGTTAGTAGGTTTTACAAATAAAAAAATAAAAAAACAGAGAATGATTGGATTACAAACCTGCCAATTCATTTTTCAATATTGTCTGACCCTCCGGCGAGTTATAGAAGGATACCTCTCGAAAATGTGGATCAGCCAAATCGTATAAATACCGTATGATTTCAATAAATGTTGGCCGAGCCGTCGCCCGATGCTGCCAACATTTTTGCATTAATGTATACAATTTGTCTGGACAATTTTCTGGTCGCTCCATGACGCCGCCATCGATAACATAACGCAAGACTTGATCATTTGAAAAGCCCTGGAATGGAAAAATACAAAAGTATATGAAGAAGGCTTTATTATCAAAACTTTTGGAGGATACCTCAAGGGCTCTTGGAAATCAATACCAAAATTTTTTTGTTATATTCATGTTGAATAGAATAAGGGAGATCTCGTTTAGCAGAAATAATTGACCCCTTGTGGGGAAGGTACCAGAGGGAAAAGTCCGATCTCGACCTTCTTTATAACAGATCTTGCGACGATGGAAATATTGTCATGTGCCAAGTCTGAATGGAATCGGGTGTTAATTTCGTGTTTTATGAGCTTCACGAATACTCAAAATTTTGATCCTTTGTGGGTGAGGTACCAGAAGAAGTGGACCGATATATCCCATCTTTACACCAGACCTTGGGTTAATAAAAATATTGCGATGTGTGAAATATGAAGAGAACCGGATACTTATTTCGGATTTTATTATCGTTTTTGTTATTCAAAATTTTGACCCTTTTGTGGGGAAGGTGCCAGAAGGAATGGTTTGATCTCGACCATCTTTATAGCAGATTTTGCGTCGATGGAAATATTATCGGATGTTTTTTTTTTCGAATTTCATGATCGTTCTGGTTATTTAAAATGTTGACCCTTTGTGACCTTTTTTTGATTAGAATAAATGAATTCCCAGACACTCAAGGCGAGCTAGTACATCCAGAGATAATATTATTGGATTCATGGTGAGGATATTCACCGGAATCCACGAGGATGTTATTACATTCATGGCAAAAATAATTCTTAAGATATAACCAGATTTGGATTGGGTCCTCACAAAGAACCAATCCATGGTGAATTGAATGCTTAAGGTATGATTGAATTTTGATTGAAACAGGGATCTTTTTTCTTCGCCTCACAGGAATATGCAACGAAAATCTTCAGAATAGGCCATGAATAAAACCCTTACTTAAATTATAAAATTGAAAAAAAAAAACACATACCTGATATGGCTGCGAAGCCAATGTGGCCATTTCCCACAATACAACACCGTAACTGAAGACATCGCTGGAACTGGAATAGACACCATCTCTCAAACTTTCCGGTGACATCCAGCGTACCGGCAATAGACCTAGAAATAAATGTCATTCCAAATTATCCCAATTAAATACCCTCCTCCACGCTCACCCTTGGTTCCCTTGCGATAGTAATCATTCTCATAGATATCTCGTGTCATGCCAAAATCACCAATTTTCACCGTCAAATCCGAGGCAACCATACAGTTGCGTGCCGCCAAATCACGATGCACAAATTTCTTGGCTGCCAAATAGGCCATGCCATCGGCAATTTCAATGGCCATTTGATAAATGCGACTCAAGGGCGGCGGCTGCGACGACATACCGCCACGATTCATTAAATTCATGGCCGCAACTTCATCACGATCATCGGGACGATGGGCACGTAAATATGTCTTCAAATCACCATTTTTCATCAGTTCCATTATGACAAGGGCCGGTTGACCGCGGGAGCAAACGCCTAGCAAACGTACCACATGATACGTATCGAATTGTTTCATGACACAGGCCTCATTTAGGAAATTGATACGTTCACGATCGGTGGCATTTTCATTTACGGTTTTAATGGCACACGGCGTATCATCTTCACTGCTCTTCAGGATGCCCTCGTAGACCATGCCAAATGAACCCTGGCCCAGGGGACTTAGTTGGATGACATTTTCCCGGGCCACTTCCCATTCATCGGGTATGTATTGTAGGCTAATGTAGTGCGGATTCATGGAGGGGAACATTTTCAAATCGGATGGCGGTGTGAGAATGCGTTTGCGCAACAGCAAATAGACAATTGTGGTTATTATGCCAATGATGGCAATACATCCTATGACTATGCCGGCTATGAAACTTGGCGCCAAGGTGTTGGCCTGTAACGCAAAAAAGAAATTAATTTCAATAAAACAAATTAATTTTTTTTGTAATAAAATACTTACAGGTATAAAAATATAGATTGTCTCTGAGTCCAAACCCTCACCAGCCAGCGAATTCGTCTTGATACGTATACTATAGTTCCCGCTATTCAGCTCACTCAGCACATAACCATTGTGTTCATAGTCATACTTGAGGAAATCCACTTGGGTAACACATTTCTTTTCCTCATACTCATCGCGCGTCTTAAGTACATAGTAAATGGTATAGGATACCACAGCACCGTTTGGCCGCTTAGGTTGTTTCCAAAACAGACGGATATTGGTGCGAGAGGAGTTTGTGGTCTCGGTGCGACACCATAAACTGTCCACACGATCAACATTGGCTGTAAGGGTAAAAAGATTTTATTCCGATTTCTATTTTTTTTTTTCATTAAATTCTCCACATCTCTACTTACCCAATTTAAGCGTCCTTTTACTGCCCATCGAGGTGTCACTGCAATTTGCCTGTTCATTGCCCTCTTCCGGTTCACGACATGCCTCGATCTCCACTTTGTAATAGGAGAAATGTTTCAGCTTTGTAAAGGCAAACTCAAACGTTGTTGCATTCACAGACTCAACAAAAACCTCATAATATTGGCCGGTGGGATCCATTCGGGTCTGGACCTGCGTCTCATTGGCATCTTTGGCTGCAAAGACGGGTGTGGCAACATCACGTATGTGTCGTAACATAAAACTATCGCCGGACTCTAAAGTTTCCAGTACTTCACGACGACTGCGACCAATTGCCTCGGACTTGTTGCCCTTGTCATCGGGAGAGCTGATATTGTTGTTGCCAATGCTACTAAGAGACTTGGCTTTTTCGGTTTTTCTAAAGAAGAATTTGGAAAAAAATATGTTTATATGTGGGAAGCGGGGTAGGTAATTTGGAGATTGTTTCTTACTTAACGTAAATGAAATTCTGCAGGGCATTTTCAAGTTCTATATCAGCGTGTATTTCACTTTCGTCTGTAACAACTGGACCCTTTTGGCCACCCTTGGGACATTTACAATCGGCTGGAGTTTTAGGCTTTTCCGTTATCGTTGTCTTTGGAATGATGTCTTCGGTTCCGGCAATCTTTAGAGCTGTGAAATGGAATTGATTTGTTATTTAAAATGAAAGGAAATTTGAGTGTCTTTTTTGTAAATATTTCATGGTCATCAACAATGGTCCTTAGCGTCCTTAGGACATGCTGATATATTTCCCTACACAATGTCTGTGCTTTAGGTCAACAACTAAAACATGGCCTTAAAGAATTTTTTTTAAAAATTTCCATTGCTTTTCGACTTCGGGGAGCATAGCTTTTTGCTATCGGACGTATCCCCAGGTTGGGAGTAGTAGAAAGACCAGTAGATACCCTGATTACCTGGGAATTGAAAAAACAAAAACAGTCGCGGACAGTCCGCAGGTCTCAGGGGGGATCTCGAATTAAACACCCAAGTGCCAATAATCCTTAGACTGACAAGGTCATGTTTCTGCACCCCTGCAATAACCAAACCTCTATGCTGGTCCCCACACAAAGAGGATCCTCTGCTACCACGTGTCCATCACCATGTTACAGGTTTGCAGTCATGGTACCGACTGTATTCTAACAGAGAAAGAAGTTTCTTCTAGAACTTGGCTTCCAGGAGTTTTTTTTTTTTTTCAAATTTACATTACTTTGCGATTTCGGGGTGCATGACTCGCTGCTATCGGACGTATCCACAGGTTGCGAATAGTACAAAGGTCATCAGATATCCTGATTACCTGGGATTTGAAAAAGCAGTAGCGGACAGACAGCTAGCGGGTCGGAGGGGGAGAGTCTCGCTTTAAATACCCGAGTGCCAATAATCCTTGGACTGACTAGGTCATGTTTCTGCACCCCTGCAATAACCAAACCTCTATGCTGGTCCCAACACAAAGAGGATTCCCTAACGCAGAAGTGTTATGCGACCACGTGTCCATCACCATGTTACAGGTTTGCAGTCATGGTACCGACTGTAATCTAACAGGGCTTCTTTGATATCTGGACGCCTCAACGAATATTAGGTTTAGTTACCGAGTCCTTACCATTGTAAGGAGGCTATGCCGCTGTTTCTTCAACAGAAAATGACGCATGGAAGAAAAAAATCATATTTCAACTGATGTTGGTGTGGACGCATTGACACTCCGCGCCAACAAAGCTACAAGTGCGAAGTTTACCTCCACCTCAAGAAAAATTATTTTAAGATTGGAGTCGGACAGCGATTCAGTATCGTCTGCTACAAATAGCAGGACGAAGCAGATGGGAATCTTGGAAGTAGTCAATGATCTGACTCTTGATCTTTGCGGATGGGACCCTTAAGACGGGGTCAGGACAGCATCCCTGTAGACTTTAGGGAAAGCTACCTGTCTGACGAGAACGAGTCAGCGGTTGACTCCCAAGAAAGTCGACCTGAATAGTCCTAGCGGCCTAAATACCAATTTGTCGGCAAATACCAAACAACCTGACCACTATAAATCCTGCAAGGAAAAAGAGGAAATCGAAGCCTACCAAACCCTCGAAATTGACTTTGTCGAGGCCATCCCTTCAATACAACCTGTTACAACGGAAAAGGTGGTGAAACCACATGTGGCTTGGCAGACCACCCTACTAACTATATTTCGAGCCATAAATCTTTTCGATCGTCTGCTACCACTAGCAGCACGAAGCAGACGGGAAATTTGGGAGTACTCAAGCACACATGTAGACTTCAGGTAACATCCATATAGACAAGCCCACACTCGCAGGAAGCAATATAGGTAGAAGGAGGATAGAGCAGCGTCTCCATTCACTTAAGTGCCGCCAAGCTCTTTCCCGACAACCAGGAGTGCCAAGCCCAAGGAGATGAACGATAAAAAGGCAAGCAATAAACTACTGTAACCGATGGACATCCATCAAAGCTTAATGATAAGGACCTGCAGCTCGAGAGGACGTGACTTAAGGCAACATTAAGGGAACACCCGATAGACGGGATCCCAAATGCAGAACAGGGGTTAAACCAGTCAACTCCTTTTTATCTTGAAAGGAAAAAAAATGTAACAAAGAAGCCGCCTTCGAAAAAGGCGTCTGATGTGCCAGAGCCAGAGTTACCGCTCCTCAAAGCAAGGGAAGGCGAGACTAAGGTTAAGTCTGCGAAACCACACCCCACTAAAAAGGCTGCAAGAAAGAAGAGAAAATCGAAGCCTACTAAACCCTCGAAATTGACTTGGTCGAGCTCATCATTTCATCGCAACCGGTTACAACGGAGAAGCTAGTGAAACAACAGGTGGCTTGGCAGACCACCCTCCTAACTAGACTTCTCTCTATAAATATTTTCTCCGGGCGGTTGTATTATCCGGATCTTACTTGTGCCTACTAAACCCTCGAAATTGATTTTGTCGAGCCCATCCTTGCATCGCAACCCGTTACAACAGAGAAGCTGGTGTTTTTCCATACTCTCCTAACTACACTTCTATCCATAAATCTTTTCTCCGGGCGGTTGCATCATCCGGATCTTAATTGTGCCAATACCACACTTCGCATCAGCTCTCGCTCTTCAGCTGCGATGCGAGGGGTATGATTTCCAAGTACGGTATTCGCTCTATATTCCTCCATGACTTGTGTGACCGCATCAGAGTGATGATATTCACTCTAGAGCTGCTTGATGGACATGTAGATCCAGAGGCTCTCTCCCTCTCTCTCTAGATCATGAAGGTCTTTCCTTACGTGCCTGGGCGGAGATTGCCTATCCTCCAAGATGGTGATTGGGATATCTCTGTTCTTAGAACACTCAAGCAGATATTACAGCCTTTTACTATGATTTCGCACCGGCAGACCTTCGATAGGTCTTGATGGACATGTGGATCTAGAGGCTCTTTCTCTAGATCATAAAGGCCTTTCCTTACGTGCCTGGGCGGAGATTTGGTTGCCTGTGCACCAGATGGTGATTGGGACATCTCTGTTTATAACACTCAAGCAGACATGACAGCTTTTTATTATGATTTAGCACCGGTAGACCTTCGATAGGTGTCAGGAGGAGGCACCCTGCTGTGGAGTTCCGAAAGAATTTCACATTTTTCCACTGCGCAGCAATAACGTTGGTGGACCACTGCGCTGTACCAGACACCGGCCTATGGCGTTCTTTGAGGCCAACAGATTCCCTTATCGCCCTATTCCCCAAATCGCAGTAAGCCTTCGTATGCACGGACGACTAGAAAAGGTTATCAAATGTGCCCCCCTAAAAGCTGTCCAGTGGTATTCCTAGAAGTTTTCTTTGGGTTGTAATTTTTTTGGGGTCTAGAAACCCTTAACTTCCCATTTTCTTCAAATACTTACGATCTTTGCAATAGTTACGCGTTTCCAATTGCGTGACCGACGTCTCATATGTGGCACGTAATCGGTATTGGACAATTTTGCCATTTGGTGATGCTGGCGGTGACCATTTCAATATAATAACAGAACTCGAATTGGCATAAAGTCGAAAATCAACTATTCTCGATGGCGTCGATGATTGTGTGGTGAAATGTTGTATATCACTTTGACCGCTACGACGTTCCGTTGATATTGTCATTGTTTTGACATAGTAGGCATATTGGGTGTAAGGCTTCAGTTCGGTGAACACATATTTGATTTCTTTGGTGGGCGGACTTACGTACCAGCTACAGAGAAACAAATACAAAAAGGGAAGGAAATAATTAGCAAGGATCGAAAAAAAAGAATAGAAATAGGGTCCAGCAGAACTTACTCATCATCACATGGTCTGTAGGTATATTTCGTGGCATTGCCATATGGATCTTCCGTAATTAAAAACTGATAACCAATAAAGGCCCGATCATCATCGTATTTAAGGGGATTTAGAATTTTCACTATGGCAATGAGGGATTTTACCCGAAGCGTTTTCACCTCCAAGGTGGTGCTGTTACCTGAAGATAGAGAGAGAGAGAGAGTGATAATTGGAAATATAATAAACATAATTATGTATTTCAAGTAGCTTTATAATTTTGCCTTGTGATATCACTCACATGAGCCTCTAAGACCATTCGAATCCAACGCCACCTCGGTAACATCGAAATCCTTTTGATTCAACGTGGGCAAGAGCAAATCCTTGATTGTCGACACACAAAGTTTGGGATTGAAATGGAAGTAAACTTTGCCATTTTCTATGGTGACATTTTGTTCCTTGTCCCACAGGTATTCCAGATCGTTGTTATCCAAAACATATAATGCATATCTGGCAAAAAGAGAAGAAGTCCAAGTTAGAAAGAAGGAAACACTTCACATGGTTGGGACGAGGGGGGTGGAGGTGGATAACTTACTTTTTGTCAAATAAATTCTCGCCCTTGATAGTTTTAAGATTTTGTAAAAATTTCAAATTCAACAAACCGACGGTACCCTGAATTGTCAATGAACCACTTATGGTGCGTATGGATGATAGACCATAGATTAAATCGGCATTTATTTGACCTGAAGAAATAAAAACAAAAACAAAACAGTAATGTTACACCTTGGCATTTTGCTTCCGTTAAGCGAACCACTCACTTGCTCTCTTGATGGTAATAATCAAACTTCCCTCGATATAATTGCAGCCGTTGTACTCCTTGGCCCGACTGGCTCCATCGATAATTGTACCTTGACACTTTTTAATACACTCCCCAATGCATGGCACGCAAGTCATGTTTTCTTTGACATAATTCTCCGGACATTTAACCGTACAATTCCCCTGGAATGGTATTAACGGTGTGGCTTTGCTATCTTCATAGATTGATCCGATCCGTATACATTCATCTTCGAACATACAACGACGATCCATAAACTATAATTAACAAAAGAATTTTTTTCTCTCTCTCGATAATATAATGGAGATTTGTAGTACTTACGTATAACATTCCCTCGGGACAGGAATCGACACAGGTGGTCATGTTGTAGGAATATTTTCGACAAACCAAACATTCATTGATATTGTCGGGCGAACAACCGCCTAGACATTTCTCATGGCAGCAGGTGTTCTCATCATAGCAATTGTGACGACATCGCTGGGGACAAACTGGTGGGGAAATAAGAAATTTTTAAAATGAATGAAAATATAAATTAGAACCCAAAAGGACCTTCCAAATCGATGCAAGGTTTCCTAGGGGACGTGGTGTTTCTCAAGCTGAAATTTGAAATTGTAACCAATCAAAAAGGACCCGGGACTTGGTAGAGGTTAATATACGTTGATCGTTGTCTTGTTTTGCAAGTTATTAGAGATATTCTTTGTGGCGGAGGTACCAGAAGGGATGGGCTGATAGATATTATTTCTATACCATATCTTCTGTTGGTAAAAATATTAGAATATGTGACATTTGAAGAGAATCGAATGCATATTTCGTATTTTATGGAGGGTTTTGGTTACTTAAAATATTAACCTCTTTATTCCATTTTCACACTAAATCTTGTACTGATAGAAATATTGGAATGTGTCTAGTTTCAAGGGAATCGGATGCCCATTTCGGGTTTTATGAGCTTCATGGTTATTCGAAATTTTGGAACGTTGTGGGGGAGGTACCAGCGACGCGAATTTTTGACCATCAAAGGTGGATTTTTTCAAGAATATTTTTTCAGGGAATAAAATACCATTAAACGTGGATTTTTTAAAGAATATTTTTTCAAGGATTAAAAAACCGTCAAGGATTAAAAGAGCATCAAACGTGGATTTTTTAAAGAATATTTTTTCATGGATTAAAAGGCCATCAAACGTGGATTTTTTAAAGAATATTTTTTTCAAGGATTAAAGGACCATCAAACGTGGATTTTTAAAAGAATATTTTTCAAGGATAAAAGGACCATCAAACGTGGATTTTTTAAAGAATGTTTTTTTCAAGGATTAAAGGATCATCAAACGTTGATTTTTTAAAGAATATTTTTTCATGGATTAAAAGGCCATCAAACGTGGATTTTTTAAAGAATGTTTTTTTCAAGGATTAAAGGATCATCAAACGTTGATTTTTTAAAGAATATTTTTTCATGGATTAAAAGGCCATCAAACGTGGATTTTTTAAAGAATGTTTTTTCAAACGTGGATTTTTTAAAGAATATTTTTACAAACGTGGATTTTTTAAAGAATATTTTTTCAAACGTGGATTTTTTAAAAAATATTTTTTCAAACGTGGATTTTTTAAAGAATATTTTTTCAAACGTGGATTTTTTAAAGAATATTTTTTCAAACGTGTATTTTTTAAAGAATATTTTTTCAAACGTGGATTTTTTAAAGAATATTTTTTCAAACGTGGATTTTTAAAGAATATTTTTTCAAACGTGGATTTTTTAAAGAATATTTTTTCAAACGTGGATTTTTTAAAGAATATTTTTTCAAACGTGGATTTTTTAAAGAATATTTTTTCAAACGTGGATTTTTTAAAAAATATTTTTCAAACGTGGATTTTTTAAAAAATATTTTTTCAAACGTGGATTTTTAAAGAATATTTTTTCAAACGTGGATTTTTTAAAGAATATTTTTTCAAACGTGGATTTTTTAAAGAATATTTTTTCAAACGTGGATTTTTTAAAGAATATTTTTTCAAACGTGGATTTTTTAAAGAATATTTTTTCAAACGTGGATTTTTTAAAGAATATTTTTTCAAACGTGGATTTTTTAAAGAATATTTTTTCAAACGTGGATTTTTTAAAGAATATTTTTTCAAACGTGGATTTTTAAAGAATATTTTTTCAAACGTGGATTTTTTAAAGAATATTTTTTCAAACGTGGATTTTTTAAAGAATATTTTTTCAAACGTGGATTTTTTAAAGAATATTTTTTCAAACGTGGATTTTTTAAAAAATATTTTTTCAAACGTGGATTTTTTAAAAAATATTTTTTCAAACGTGGATTTTTAAAGAATATTTTTTCAAACGTGGATTTTTTAAAGAATATTTTTTCAAACGTGGATTTTTTAAAGAATATTTTTTCAAACGTGGATTTTTTAAAGAATATTTTTTCAAACGTGGATTTTTTAAAGAATATTTTTTCAAACGTGGATTTTTTAAAGAATATTTTTTCAAACGTGGATTTTTTAAAGAATATTTTTTCAAACGTGGATTTTTTAAAGAATATTTTTTCAAACGTGGATTTTTAAAGAATATTTTTTCAAACGTGGATTTTTTAAAGAATATTTTTTCAAACGTGGATTTTTTAAATAATATTTTTTCAAACGTGGATTTTTTAAAGAAAATTTTTCAAACGTGGATTTTTTAAAGAATATTTTTTCAAACGTGGATTTTTTAAAGAAAATTTTTCAAACGTGGATTTTTTAAAGAATATTTTTTCAAACGTGGATTTTTTAAAGAAAATTTTTCAAACGTGGATTTTTTAAAGAATATTTTTTCAAACGTGGATTTTTTAAAGAAAATTTTTCAAACGTGGATTTTTTAAAGAATATTTTTTCAAACGTGGATTTTTTAAAGAAAATTTTTCAAACGTGGATTTTTTAAAGAATATTTTTTCAAACGTGGATTTTTTAAAGAAAATTTTTCAAACGTGGATTTTTTAAAGAATATTTTTTCAAACGTGGATTTTTTAAAGAAAATTTTTCAAACGTGGATTTTTTAAAGAATATTTTTTCAAACGTGGATTTTTTAAAGAAAATTTTTCAAACGTGGATTTTTTAAAGAATATTTTTTCAAACGTGGATTTTTTAAAGAAAATTTTTCAAACGTGGATTTTTTAAAGAATATTTTTTCAAACGTGGATTTTTTAAAGAAAATTTTTCAAACGTGGATTTTTTAAAGAATATTTTTCAAACGTGGATTTTTTAAAGAAAATTTTTCAAACGTGGATTTTTTAAAGAATATTTTTTCAAGGATTAAAATACCAAGGACTATCAAATTACCACACTCGGGTTTTTACACTCTCAGCCATATGGCTATAATCATTTGATACGGCCAAAAACTGCCTAGTCGAAATAACAATTTTAGACCCTAGGTCTCTTTGGACCAAATCCGTTTCAGGACATTGGGAGTCGATCTAGCGATGTCCGGCCGTTCATCTGTCTGTCCGTCTGGCTGGCTGGTGGGCACGATAACTCTCAAAGGGAGTATCCGATTAGATCCAAACTTGGTACATCGAAATATAATTGTCAAACTTAGGTCGAGTTCGGAGATGGGCAATATCGGTTTACTCCTTCTGGTACCTCACACACAAATGTCCTAAAACGGGTTTTATGCCAAGAGACTTAAGAGTCTTAAATTCTTATTTCAATGAGGCACCTTTTGGCCGTATCAAATGATATATACCCTCCATCTCTAGCCATATGGCGGGGGGTATTATGAGTCAATCAAATCTTTGTCCCCCCCCTCGTCCTTTAATATCTTCTTTCCAACCTCTTTATACTCACTCTTCTGACACTGTTTGACATCCCAACAATTGCGACGACCATGGTGTAGCCTGCAACCCGGATTATTTGGTGAATTATCTAGATCACCGGGGCACGATGGACATTCGATGGGATCACGATTTGCCTGAGAATAGAATAGAGAAAAAAAAAACAAATGACAATAACAATAACAAATTTCAATGTCAATGTGTTCGTATTTTGCATACAAAAACAACAACAAGAAAAACAACGAAACAATACTCACGCCAATATACACTTCCGTTGTGTTCGACACCACAATCTGACTCCAATCAATGGTGTGAACAAAACACAACATTTTATTCTTTTCGATGCGTACACCCGAACCGATCATTGTCAACTTGGACAGACCCAAATCTTCCAGATGTGAATTGGAACTAATAAACAGGGCATAGCCCTCGAAATTGGTGCGTCCCCGTATTATGCTTAGATTTGGGAAGATTTGACTTAGCGAACGCAAATAGCCAACCTGATAGATAATGATAAAGTCGGTGACCTCGACCAGCATGGGGAATGTTTCGTTAAAGGGTAAATAGTTGCGAGTATTTATCAAAGTTATTAGGAGGAAACCCTCGATGACGGTACAATTGGCCAACTGTCGCAGCTGTGCGGGGCTGTTGCGTATGTCGAGAGATTTGCAAACTGGAAAGAAAGAGCAGAAAAAAAAAACATTAAATTTTGGATTCAATTGTAAACAAAGAAAAAATGTGAGGATGAAGGTATGTATGCATGTGTCTATGGGGGGAGGGGGGTTGTGTGTATGTATGTGTGTATTATAAAGCAAAGGGTATTTGCGATATTTCTTCGATGATAGTTCAAAGTTCATTTAACCAAATTTCTTTGTTATTTTATAACCCCTGGTTCCACTGTCATCTTTGATTGATTCATCATCATTGTCGCCTCCGCCATCGCCATATGCATTTGCTTCGGGGGGTTCGTTCTCTATACGTTCTTTTTTTTCGCTTTTTTTTTTTTGTTGATGTTCCACATTATTATTGCGTAGTAAGAAAATGTTTTCATTTAATAAACTATGTATTTATTGCGTAGTATTTTATCTGAGTAGGAGAAACTAAACAACTATGCGGTGGCTGGCTGGCTACGTTTTAGGTACATACAGACAATCATACAATACAATGTACGTGCATTGTGAGAGGTGATAGTACATACAGGGTGAGATATAAAAAAACCGAAAAAAAGTTAAATGCCATAATTTTTACATTTTTTATACCCTACACCACAAGGTGGTCAGGGTATTATGTCTTTGTGCATGTGTTTGTAACAGGCAAAAGAAAACGAGATAGACCCATAGTTCCTTTGGATGATCTGCATAGAATCACATTCTGAGTCGATTTATGCATGTCCATCCCTCTGTCTGTCCGTCCGTCTGTCTGTCCATGTATTTTTGTAAACAAAGTACAGTTCGCATTTATTGCCCTATCCAGATGAAATTTTGCACAAATCATTTGTTTGGCCCAAGGACGAACCCTATTGAAATTGGAGATAATCGGTCAAAATTTAAATATAACTCCCATATATATCTTCGTCCGATTTGCCTTTTATTGTACACCAAACGTGTAATATCAGCCCGAATGGTATGGAATTTTGCACATATAACCAAATTAGGCCTGAAAATAAGTGTGCCAATTTTGATCGAGATCGATTCAGATTTGGATATAGCTCCCATATATAACTTCGTCCGATTTACCTTTGATTGTGCACCAAACGTGTAATATCAACCCAAACAGTATGAAATTTTGCACATACAACCAAATTAGGCCTGAAAATAAGTATGGCAAATTTTATCGAGATCGGTTCAGATTTGGATATAACTCCCACATATATGACTTCGTCCGATTTACCTTTGATTGTACACCAAACGTGTAATATCAGCCCGAATAGTATGAAATTTTGCACATACAACCAAATTAGGCCTGAAAATAAGTGTGCCAAATTTGATCGAAATCGGTTCAGATTTCGATATAGCTCCCATACATAACTTCGTCCGATTTGTTATTTTTGTCCTCCGCAGCCGTAATATGCACTCTGTAACAACAATATTTGGGGAAATATATCAAATACAGCTCAGAAATACATTTGCTAAATTTTATTGAGATCAGTTCAGATATAGCTATAGCTCCCATATATAACTTCGTCCGATTTACCTTTGATTGTGCACCAAACGTCCAATATTTGTCCAAATGGGTTGGAATTTGGCACTTGCAACCGAATTGAGTCTAGAAGCTAGTATGTCAAATTTGGTGAAGATCGGTTCAGATATAGCTATAGCTTCCATATATACTGTTCATCCGATTTGTTACCCACAGCCGTAATATGCACTCCGCAACAACGATATTCAGGGAAATATATGAAATAAAGCTCAGAAATATTTTTGCCAAATTTTATCAAGATCGGTTCAGATTTGGATATAGCTCCCAGATATATATCAAATGGGCAATACAAGTCCGAATTTCAAAGATACAAATGCTTCGGCATATTTAGTCCTTTGAACTTTAAATTATAATTAAATTCAGAATTCTCCCTTAAAAACTTTTAATTGTTATGCGGAGCTCTACTAAATTAGCAAAGTGGTGTAGGGTATCATAAAATCGGCCCGCCCGTGTTTAAGACTTTCTTTACTGTTTTTTTAATTTTATTGAATGAAAGCAAAAAATGTCGGAAATATCATAAAATCATATCATAACTTTAGATTTGGTCGAATTGGTCACCATTGGCACGAATTATGGCCTTCAAACGGCCAATGAAACCGTCACACGCTGCCTGAATGTTACTCTGCGGTATTTTGGCCCATTCCCGGAGAAGCACTTGGTTGAGGTGATCGTCACTTTGGTGTTTTTTAGTGCCAACCTTGCTTTCCAAAATACTCCAGATGCAATAGTCCAGCGGATTGGTATCCGGAGATTTTGGTGGTCATTGTGCGCTGGAAATGAAGCGAGGAACTTCATTTTTTGTAAACATTCTTGGGTGGCGAGTGCTGAGAGATGTTGGATTGCCCAACGTCTGTGGCCAAAATGTTTGGGTGCCCAAAGCTTTAATACACCCTCCAGATAATTTTCGCGATAATATTCGGCATTTAATCTAATGCCAAGGTCGATTAATACGAGAGGAGAACGATAATCCGGCGCTTGAGTTCTGGTGGCCAACCAAAGGTGCACTTTTTTAGCTGACCTCAATCTGCCCAAATGCTGCTCTGCGGTATTTCGGTCCATTCCCGGCAAAGCACTTGCTTGAGGTGATCGACACCTTGGTATTTTTTAGTGCCAACCTTGATTTCCAAAATACTCCAGACACAATAGACCAACGAATTGGTATCCGGAGATTTTGATGGCCATTGTGCGCTGGAAATGAAGCGAGGATCCTCATTTTGTAACCATTCTAGGGTGGCGCGTGCCCTAGTGCAATGGTGCTGAGTCCTGTTGGAATGTCCAAGGTCTGCAGCCAAAAATGTTGCGTGCTCAATGCTTTAATATACCCTCCCATTTATTCTGATGCCAAGGTTGAATCATACGATCGGAGTGCGACCATCGGCTGTTATGGCCAGCGCTTGAGTTCTGGTGACCAACCGTAGGTGCTCATTTTCAACATCAGCTGGCCTCTTTGTGTGCTGGAAATGAAGCGAGGAACCTCATTTTTTGTAAATATTCTTGGGTGGCGCGTGCCCTAGTGCGATGGTGCTAAGTCCTGTTGGAATGTCCAAGGTCTGCGTCCAAAATGTTTCCGTGCCCAAGGCTTTAATACACTCTCCAGAATATTTTCGCGATAATATTCCGCATTTATTCGGATGCCTGGGCGATTAATACCAGCGGAGAGCGACCATTGGCCGTTATGGCGGCCCACGCCGTCACCATGACAGGCGCTTGAGTTCTGGTGGCCAACCGAAGATGCACATTTTGAGCTGACCTCTTTCTTCCCAAATGTTTCTCTGCGGAATTTTGGGCCATTCCCGGCGAAGTGCTTGCTTGAGGTGATCGACACTTTAGCATTTTTTAGTGCCCAACCTTGTTTTCCAAAATATGAAGCAACTCTTTAGCTCTTTTAAGTCTATTTTCTTTCTGTTGCGGTTGCGGTGTAAGTTCTTGCACTTCTTGGAAGTTCAATGGCTTTACCCCGAGCTCATTTTTCAATATTTGCCGAATGGAATATTGCGATATGTGTAGCTCACGAGCCATTTTTCTGCCACTGCGAAGCGGGTTTCGATTAAGACGCTTCCTTACTTTTCGAACCATTTCTGCTGATGTTGCTGTTTTCTTCCGTCCACTTCCTTGACGTCGGGCTACGCTACCAGTATCAAGGTAACAAGCGATGGTATGAGACACAAAAGATTTATTCACATTTAAATGCTGCTGGAGTGCTCTAACGATAACCACTTGTGGTTTTCCAGCCAAATATAAAGAAATCACACTATCACGCTTGACTGCCATCACGAATAACTTCTTTTCTGGAAAATTCTCACCAAAATGTTTTTGTAAACAATATAATGAGCTGGCACTGGAAAAATTTTAAAAGCTGTCGGACGAGTGGCTGTCATATCTACAGCAGTCTGAAGTTGGTTGCAGTTTTTTCATCTCACCCTGTACATCTAAATACACATATCAATTGATTAAGTTCTAGATCCTAATTAGATTCATACGATTTTCGCAATTAATACTAATTAGTTTAATTTGGCTTTCGTTTGGTTAAAAATAAAAGAAAACAAAAACACATTTTGAGGTTAGGACGACACTGCGTCCCAGGATCCCCATCCAGTCACAGCGTGTCAACGTTTGGCAAAATGAGTACTAATTATATTCTATTAAGTCTATTTAATGTTAGGAATACAAATGGAAATGACATCCTCTTCTTAATGAAGAAATATTCAAAGGATGTGAATTTGGGAAAAAAAAGAAAAATGGTGGAAAATATACAAGTTAGGATTCCTGGGGATTCATGCATTTTTGGTAAATAGTACCTTTGGCAATATTATTCGCCACAATCTGGGGAATATTTTTGCCAAACACATTAACCCTCAGTCGTGCCATAAAAGGGGTCTTTTAGGGATTTTTCTTCAAAAACCTTTAACATTTGAATTTTATTTCGTCAACTATGGTTCAAAGTAAGGGCTGTTAGAGATGATATACTATATATACGGATTTCGTTTCTTCAGCGACTCATAATGAAATTTGATGAGAAACATTTTTCCTTTTGACTCAATGCCAAAAAAATAAAGTCTAATGGGAGATTTTGGCTCAGTCTTGAAATACTCAAAATTTACGGTGAAAAATGTAAAGAAAAAAATTCTATACCAAATATGGAAATTACTAGTTCCTTTTTCAGGAAAAATATTATACCCAGATATATCGTTTATTCTGAGACTCATAGTGAAATTTTGTCTAGGATATTTCCTCCTTTTACACTTTTTACCTAAAACCAATATTCATACTACTTTCATACATCAACTTGAAAAAAGGACAAGGAAAATTTTATCAAAAAAAAAAAAAAAAAAAAAAATCGCAAATATTTTTTGTTTCTTTTGGAAAAATCGAATCAGATATTTTGTTGCTATATAATGGAAATATAGATTTTATGTCTTCAGCGACTTAGGGTGAAAATTTACGTAGAATATTTTCATCTTCAACATCATCCCGCTAAAATGAGGTTTTATGCAACTTTTTTTCATAAACTCAAATGGAGTGCTAATTTAACTCTAAAACAAAATCAAGAGCTGTTAAAAATAAGATGCATATATTTTACAGATTTCGTTACTTCAGAGACTCACAATGAAATTTGAGGAGAAACAATTTTTCTTTTGACACTATCCCCGAAAAATGAAGTCTAAAGGGAGATTTTGTCTCAGTCTTGAAATACTCAAAATTTACGGTCAAAAGTGTAAGTGCAAACAATTTCTACACAAAATATAGAAATTCCGAATGTCATTTTCATAAAAAATATTATACCTAGATGTATAGTTTATTCTGAGACCTTTAGTGAAATTTTGTGTAGAATATTTCTCCTCTTAGAAGATTTCGTCTAGAAGAAGGCCTTATATTACTTTCATGCATCAACTTGAAAAATGGACAAGAACAATTTTATCAAAATTTAAATTTAAAGACATAAAATGTTATCAAAAACTTGTATTTTTTAGGCAAAATCGAATCAGATATTTTGTTGCTATATAATGGAAATATAGATTTTATATCTTCACCGACTTATGGTGAAATTTTACGTAGAATATTTTTGTCTTTAACATCATCCCGCTAAAATTATGTTTTATACAACTATTTTGCATAAACTCAGATGGAGTGCTAATTTAACCTAACCCTTTTAATGTCACGCTAGGGGGTAATTGTTTTGCAAAAATAATCCCTGGATGTAAGCCACTAGATACTATATACCTATTAAAATGCATGGTTTCCAAGGAATCGAACCTTGAATATTTTTAAAAATGCAAAAATTGGTAGGAAAATTTCTATCTTTTGGTTAGATCCCGTAAACTTTCATTGAATTTTGTCACACAGTGTTATGCAAAAGTGAACACCCGCACCTCAAACAATGATAATTCAAATTCGAATACACCTACCCGGGCCGCCAAACCTTATTAAGGCAGGAGGACGACTCTGATCTCTAAATTACCAACAAAGACAGATTTCAGTCCTCTAGGAAACAGTCTCCCTTTACCTAAGAAACCTTATTCTCCATCTGAAGACTATTTTGAATTCAGGCGATAAAGAAAAAATGAGATTATGAAGGGCCAACCCCGACTGTTGAAACGGATGTTGATCCGATAAGTGCCACACATTTGCAAACATAGGATGATTCTTTGACGACCAACGCCGATAAGGTATTTTGGGACAAGATTCCATTAGAGAAGAAGATCTGTCGGTTAACAAATCTAAAAGCGCCCCTACACCCACATCTGACTGATCAAGTGGAAATTCAGGGTGCTAATTAAATTCGAATGGGCCCTTCTCACCTTCATTTACATCGACGAACGTCCTGTTTCTGTTCTAAAAGACTGTCAGACAGAGAAAATCAGAACACCCCTTTCAGGAAAAAAAAATTACATCAGACCTCTCACAAATGGTTATCTACCCTGGCGACATATATCTTATGTGAGGGTTACGCTATGCGACTGCGATCATGGAGATTCAAAAGTGTTCGACATTCGTCAAAACTCAGTTGGTTAAGAAACCAGGGATTTGTGGAATTCTATGATCGATTTTATTACAAAATTTAACTCCTTTGTGGGGAAGGTACCTGAAAGCAGTGGTCCGATATATTCCATCTTCACACCCGATATTGTGTAAATAAAAATATTGGGATGTGTGGAATTTGAAGGAAATAGGATGCTTATATCGCATTTTATGAGCGTTCTGCTTATTCAAAATTTTGACCTCTTTTTGGGGGAGGTACCAGAAGGGGTGGGCCGATATATTCCATCTTCACACCCGATCTTGTGTAAATAAAAATATTGCGATTTGTGAGATTTGAAGAGAATCGGATGGTAATTTCGCATTTTAAGAGAGTTATATGTATTCAAAATTTTGACCCGTTGTGAAGGAGGTACAAGGAGGAGTAGTACGATATAGTCCATCTTCACAGATGATCTTGTGTGGGAGATACCAGAATGTGGTCCGATTTATTCCATCTTCACGTCCGATCTTGTGTAAATAAAAATATTGCGATATGTAAAATTTGAAGAGAAGCGGAAGCTTACTGCGCGTTTTAAGAGAGTCATAATTATTCAAAATTTTGACACCTTTGTGGGGAAGATATCTGAAGGGTGGTCTGATATATTCCATCTTCACACCCCATCTGGTGTAAATAAAAATATTGCGATGTGTGAAATTTGAAGAGAAACGGAAACTTATCTTCCATTTTATGAGCGTTTTGGTGATTCAAAATTTTGACCCACTCCAGAAGGAGTGGTCCGATATATTCCGTCTTCATACCTGATCTTCTATTGGTAAATATAATGGGTTGTGTCAAATTTGAAGACAATCGGATACTTATATCACATTTCATAAGAGTTATTATTATTAAAAACTTTGACCCTTTGTGGGGAGGCACATGATGGAGGGGGCCGATATTTTCCATTTTCGCACCTGACCTAGAACTAATGCAAATATTAGGATATGCAAAATTGGAGCAAAATCGGATTATCCTTTCTCTTTTTGTGCAGTAAATTATTTTCTGTTAAAATGTTGACATTTTGTGGGGGAGTGGACCGATATTGGCCATTTCCGAACTCGATCTAAATTTGACAATAATATTACGATGTACCATGCTTGAATCAAATCGGATATACCCTCCGAGAGTTATCATGCACACCAGCCAGACGGACGGACATCCCCAGATCGACTCAAAAATATTCTTAAATGGATTTGGTCAAAAGGGACCTAGTGTCTAAAACCGTTATTTCGATAAGGCACGTTTTGGAAGTATCAAATGTCACATACCCTCTGTAGCCATCTGGCTGAGGGTATAAAAATTTACTCAGGTCCTTGTGCAATGAAAAAAATGTTCAGATCCTTGACCATTAAATATTTTCAGGTTCAGGGGCCTGAGTAGATTTTCAGGCTCAGGGACCTGAGTAGAAATTTTCCTACGGTAGAGAGAGTTCCTTGAGCAATGAAAAAGAAATTTCAGATCCCTGAGCATTGATTTTTTTCCAGGCTCAGGGACCTGATTAGAAATTTTCCTACGAGATTAATTTGAAAAAATGGGTTTTAACACCCCTACTTACCCGTCTCATTACGTCCCAGCCATACTTCACTTCGTGGTGGTTCTGCACTGATAGTTCTTTCCGTGGATCTTACAAAAGATTTGATTGATGTTTCCAATGCAGTTTCCGTGGGCGTTGATGTGGTGGGGATGATCTGTGATGCTGATGTCGCCGACAGGAAAAAAAGGGAGAGCAGTGAGAGGCTCATGAAAAGCGTTCTAGCCATAGATGTTGTTGTTGTTTTTATAAGCCTTGTAGACCTGCTTTTCGAAATTCTGTTATTTTGTTCAAAGTAGCCAATTGCGGTATTCAAAGGAACATGACATTGTGTTTTGTTGCTAAATTGGGGATCTGTTCTGCTCCTGCTTCTCCACCTCTTCCACGTTGTCGTTATGGATGGAACTAGGGCCAATAGTAGTTGTATTATCATAAAAAATATTTCCATTTTTTGTGACAAATATTGAAGTTCTCGGCCAAAACACCTTTGGCATTGAGATGGCTCCTGGATATTGGAGTTGGAGGTAGAGGTGGAGGAAGAGCAGGCATCATTACAGGTTCCTGGCGCAGAAGACTTTAAATTCATTTCCATCAATTTGCTGCCATCTTCTGCATTTCGCAGTTCCTCTTGCAATTTGGCCTCCAATCGGGGTTGTCTGGAAGTGTTGAGGTTATGGAAGCAGTGACAGCTACTACAGCACCTAATGTTGGAAGGATTTGGGTTGTTTGATTCAATTATTCTCTCGTTGTTGTTGTTCATGCAGGTATTGGTGTCGGGGTTGGAGTACATTAGGGGAGTTGTTGAGTTCATTGATTTGTGGGAGGAGTGTTCCAGTTCCGCTTGTTTTGGAGTTGTTTGAGCTTCTTCCTTGCTGCGGATTATTGACACTTGACTATGTGGAACATCTGCAGAGGTACTCGCACAAAAGCTCTTGATGTTGCATCTTAATGGATAATAGGAATTCATGGACGGACACCATGGTCTTTGTTTTCCAATTGTTGCACTTGTTGTTGTTGTTGTTGTTGCTGTTGTGGCACAACAACAATGTCGATTACATTGGCAGTTCGGTTTTGTACATGATGAGCAACTTGTTAGGTGCTGGTGTTGGTGATGATGTTGCTGGTGATGATGATACTCCTCGCCAGGAAATAATTGTTGGTGTTGTTGTTGCTGCTGATTCGATGTTAAAAAATTGAGCGTTGCAGACTTTCTCAAGTCTTGGCATAATGCTTTGGGATGTGGTTCTCTGGCATAAACCTCTTTCGAGAAGGAACAGTGGTGTTGCTGCTGCTGCTGCTGCTGATGTGGTTTCTGGTGATGATGTTTGTGGTGATGGTGATGATGCTGTTGATGATTTTGCCGACACTGCAATACTTGCTCTGCTTCTCCCACTCTGCCTTCTGCCCTGCTTTGGTGGTCAAAAGAACCCCTCAGACAATTTGTGGTGTTGTTATTGGAAAACAAATTGGATGGAAACGTTTCGTTTAGTGTTGTGGCTGTTGTTGTTGTTGTTGTTGTCATTGCTGTGAATGTTGATGCCGTTCTTGTTGTTGTTATTGTTGTTAATTGTTGTTGTTGTTGTGATGTTATTGTTCCTGTTGTATTTCTTATTGTTGTACAATTTGCCGACGCCACGGCATTCTCATCTTTTACCACTTCCGGTGATCCTCCACCGCCACCGCCACGTCGAAATAAATACATTTTCCGTTTCTTGGCCATTAAATTGTGATTGGTTAAAATATCTCTAGCATCTCTTTTGTTGTACTGCGGATCAGTAGTAATGATGGTCATTTTTTCTTAGCTCCACTCTTCAGCTATGGTTGTAGGATTTTCGTTTTTTTTTGTTGTTTTAGGTTTTGGCAAATATTTCCCTAATAGTAAAAAAATCTGAAATGAGAATGAGAAATATTTGAAAATTGATTAGAGTTTTAAGAAGAAATAAATATTGTTTTTAATTTAAAAATATTTTTTTTTACCAAATAAACTTAAATGCTCTTAAAATCAAGGAACAAGAGAGGACAAGACCAAATTATGTTTTTGGGTCTATAAAACTTTCATTTTCCAAAATTACAGGAAAAAAACAGAAAAGATTTTGAAAATAGCCCTAAAAATATAGAACCGTATTAATCGACCGTGGCATCAGAATAAATGTCGAATATTATCGCGAAAATATTCTGGTGGGTGTATTCAAGCCTTGCGAACAGGACTCAGAGCCATCGCACTCAGCATGCGCCATCCAAGAATAGTTACAAAATGAGGTTCCTCGCTTCATTTCCAGCGCACAATGGCCACCAAAACCTCAAGAAAGTGCTTCGCCGGCAATGGACGAAAATACTGCAGAGCAACATTCGGGCAGCGTGTGACGGTTTCATTGGCCGTTTAAAGGCCATATTTGCAAAAACCCAGTCCTATCCCAGGCGTACGCCCCCAAGACATGATGGTCAATCTTGGGACGTAGGCGTGGAATGAGGCTGGGTTTATGGAAATTCGTACTAAAAGGGTACGACGAAAAGTATCCTTTTAAAGATTCTAGCTTCAGCTGTTTCATCCGGGCATTGATTCTAGACCAGTCAGTCAGTCAGTCAGACCAGTATTTATCCATAAATAAATCTCCTGATTTGGTAAGGTAAACGCCCTTAAAATACTGCTCTGCAGAGAAGACCTGCTAAAGGTCTCCTATTTAAAATAGTCTTCCTAATAGCTTTCTATTCCTTTTAAAGGTTCTATATCTTCGCAGAAGGAAACCTTCTAAAAGATCTAAATGTCCCATATCTATAAATGACCTCCTGTAAGTCTCTGATCCGTAGAGAACCTCCAAAAAACAAAAAAAAAAGAGCAGATAAGTTTGGCCGGGCCGAAATTTTAATACCATCCACCATTTCGAAGGAAAATGAAAAATTTCCAAAAAAAAAAAATCCGAAAACTACCACTTAAATGAAAACCGGTATATATGGGGACTATACGAAGACGTGGACCTGCATACGAAATTTTTTATCATAGGCTGGACTGTAGTGTCCATTACGAATATGTTACAATTACGGTGAATAATGTCGCAAAAATCATGAAAATACCGTCATATGGAGGCTATACGAAGACGTGGACCTGCATACAAAAATTATTGTCATAGGCTGTAGTACCCATTACGAAATTCAAATACGAAATTTTAAATAACTCCGATAAATAATGTCGCTAAAATCATAAAAAAAGCTAATATCGGGAGGTACCGTTATATGAGGGATATACGAAGACGTGGACCTTCAGACGAAGTTTTTTTCCATTGGTTGTAGTAACTATTAAGATTTCCCAATACGAAATTTGAAACAATTCCGATGAATATTGTGGCTGAAATCATCAAAATACAGAGTATCGGGAAGTACCGTTAAATGAAGGCTATACGAAGACTTAGACCTCCAGACAAAACTTTTTGTTATAGGCTGTAGTACCCATTACGAAATTCAAATATGAAATTTGAAATAATTCCAATAAATAATGTCGATAAAATCATGAAAATAGCGAATATCGGAAGATACCATTATATGGGGACTATACGAAAACGTGGACCGACATGGCTCCATTTACGAACTTAACCTGCCTACCGATAAACTATGCATGTATGCAAAATGTTAGCCTTCTATCTTAATTTTTTCGAAAGATAGCGTGATTACAACAGACAGACAGACAGATAGACAGTCAGGCGGGCATCGCTAGATCCTCTTCGAATTATACGCTGACGGTCAATTATTGCGAAGGTATTCATAAAAAAAACGCCTGAATATCTTCTGTCTATAAAAAACCTATTGAAGGCATCCTATCCTAGACCTCAATAAGGTTTACTTTCATTGAAACACCTCCTGAAGATTTCCTTTCCATAGAAGATCTCCACGTGGACTTCTGTCAACCGAAGCCTTCCTAAAGTTCTGCTATCCATAGGAAACCTCATAGACGTCTACTATCCATAGAATATATCCTCCTGAAAGTCTCCAATCCATAAAAGACCTCTAAAAATGTCTCCATCCCATAAAAGGCCTCCTGACGGTTAACTATTGTGAAGGTGTTCTATCCATGAAAAAACGCCTGAATATCTCCTGTCTATAAAAAAAACCTACTGAAGGCATCCTATCCTAGACTTCAATAAGATTTAATTTCATTGGAACACCTCCTGAAGATTTCCTTTCCACAGAAGATCTCCACATGGACTTCTGTCAACCGAAGCCTTCCTAAAGTTCTGCTATCCATAGGAAACCTCATAGACATCTACTATCCATAGAATACATCCTGTGGTTCTTTTATCCAGAGAATACCTCCTGAAAGTCACCGACCCGATAGAGGTCTACTATCCATAGAATGCATCCTGTGGGTCTCCTATCCAGTGAATAGATCACGCTGATCCAGAATAGATATACTTTGTAGGGTCTATTATGAATATTTCGAGCAGTTACAAAAGGAATGACAAAGTTAACATACCCTCCATAGAATGGTGGAGGGTATAAAAACACTTTCTGAGGTGTAATTTCCGAATTACAACCCCTGGAAAGACTACTTTCTATAGAAGGCCTCCTGAACGTCTTCAGTCATAAAGCTCTGAAAATAGGTTTTCTATCCAAAAAACAGATCACCTTGACATTTCATAGCCAAAGAAGATGTCCTAAAAGGCCTCCTTAAGGCATTCTGTAAACAACACTTACTGAATGTGTCCTAGCTGAAGTAGACTTCCTAAAGGACTAATATCCATAGAAGGCATCCTGAAGCTATTAAGTCCTAAAGCTCTCAATATGGGTTTTCTATCCAAAAAAGATGCACTTGGTATTTCCTAGCCATTACAAAAGGAATGACAAAGGTTATATACCCTCCATAGAATGGTGGAGGGTATAAAAACACTTCCTGAGATGTCCTATCCGCATTACAACTCCTGAAAAGACTACTTTCCATAGAAAACCTCCTGAAAGTCTTCAGTCTTAAAGCTCTCAATATGGGTTTTCTATCCAAAAAACAGATCACCTTGGCATTTCCTAGCCAAGGAAGCTGTCCTTAAAGGCCTCCCTCCATAGAATGGTGGAGGGTATAAAAACACTTCCAGAGGTGTCCTTTCCGAATTACAACTCCTGAAAAAACTACTTTCCATAGAAAACCTCCTGAACGTCTTCAGTCTTAAAGCTCTCAATATAGGTTTTCTATCCAAAAAAAACAGATCACCTTGGCATTTCCTAGCCAAATAAGCTGTCCTAAAAGGCCTCCTAAAGGGACTATGTAATCGACACTTTCTGAATGTGTCCTAGCTGAAGTAGACCTCCTTAAAAGACTAATATCCATAGAAGGCCTCCTGAAGCTATTCAGTCTTAAAGCTCTCAATATAGGTTCTCTAGCCAAAAAAAATCAACTTGGCATTTCCTAGCCATTACAAAGGAATGACAGAGTATATATACCCTCCATAGAATGGTGGAGGGTATAAAAACACTTCCTGAGGTGCCCTATCCGAATTACAACTCCTGAAAAGACTACTTTCCATAGAAAACCTCCTGAACGTCTTCAGTCTTAAAGCTCTCAATATAGGTTTTCTAACCAAAAAGAGATCACCTTGGCTTTTCCTAGTCAAAGAAGCTGTCCTAAAAGGCCTCTTAAAGGGATTCTGTAAACAAAACATGTTTAAGGTGTCCTAGCTGAAGTAGACCTCCTTAAAAACTAATATCCGTAGAAGGCCTCCCTCCTGAAGCTATTCAGTCTTAAAGCTCTCAATATAGGTTTTCTAGCCAAAAAAAATCAACTTGGTATTTCCTAGCCATTACAAATGGAATGACAAAGGTTATATACCCTCCATAGAATGGTGGAGGGTATAAAAACACTTCCTGAGGTGTAATTTCCGAATTATAACTCCTGAAAAGACTACTTTCCATAGAAAACCTCCGGAACGTCTTCAGTCTTAAAGCTCTCAATATAGGTTTTCTATCCAAAAACAAATCACTTTGGCATTTCCTAGCCAAGGAAGCAGGCCTCCTAAAGGGATTCTGTAAACAACACTTCCTGAAGGTGTCTTTTCCGAATTACAACTCCTGGAAAGAGTACTTTCCATAGAAGACCTCCTGAACGTCTTCAGTCTTAAAGTTCTCAATATAGGTTTTCTATCCAGAAAACAGATCACCTTGGCATTTCCTAGTCAAAGAAGCTGTCCTTAAAGGCCTCCTAAAGGAACTCTGTATACAACACTTCCTGAAGGTGTCCTAGCTGAAGTAGAGCCCCTAAAAGATTAATATCCATAGAAGACCTCCTGAAGCTATTCAGTCTTAAAGCTCCCAATATAGGTTTTCTAGCCAAAAAAAAACTCAACTTGGCATTTCCTTGCCATTACAAAAGGAATGACAAAGGTTATATACCCTCCATAGAATGTTGGAGGGTATAAAAACACTTCCAGAGGTGTCCTTTCCGAATTACAACCCCTGAAAAAACTACTTTCCATAGAAGACCTCCTGAACATCTTCAGTCTTAAAGCTCTCAATATAGCCTTTTTATCCAAAAAGAGATCATCTTGGCATTTCCTAGCCAAAGCAGCTGTCCTTAAAGGCCTCCTAAAGGGACTATGTAATCGACACTTTCTGAAGGTGTCCTAGCTGAAGTAGACCCCCTAAAAGACTAATATCCATAGAAGGCCTCCTGAAGCTATTCACTCTTAAAGTTCTCAATATAGGACCCAAAAAAAATCAACTTGGCATTTCCTAGCCATTACAAAAGGAATGACAGAGTATATATAACCTCCATAGAATGGTGGAGGGTATAAACACACTTCCTGAGGTGTCCTATCCGAATTGCAACCCCTGGAAAACTACTTTCCATAGAAGACCTCCTGAACGTCTCCAGTCTTAAGCTCTCAATATATAGGTTTTCTATCCAAAAAC